TCCATTGCAGGTGCCTCCCCTCGTATTGCGGCGTGGCGGGCGTCTGCCTATGCCCGCACGGCAGCCCCATGTCTTCTCGACCTCATCAGGTCCCCCAGGAGGTGCGTCAGGTCTCCCTTCAGCTCCTGGAGAAATGCTTCACAGGGCGGAAGAATCTCTATTCAAAGCCCAGGACGATCTCGTGTGGGTGGGTCAGAGGAGTGTCGGAGGGTTTGTGAAAACCCAGGTTCCTGGAGCTCACGCCTGGAGTTGGGTTCTGAAGGTCTAGAGCGTGTCTTGAGAAGTTTGCGTTTCTGACAAGGCCCAGTTGTGCTCATGCTGCTGGCCTGCCTGGGGGTGTCTGGGAAACGACCGGGGAGAGATGTGTGTGCGTGTGCGTGCATGCATACAGAAGGGGACTTCAAAAGTTCATGGAAAGTAGAAGTGCAGTATGCATTTACTTTGGGGGGGTGCAGGTGGCGTGGTGGTTAAGGTGCTGGACTGCCACGTGACTTACTGTGGTTTGAGTCCTGGGCCTAGTGGCTTGCTTTCTCACTTTCCTTTTTCTCTCTCCCTCTCTGTCTTATGAATGCATGTGTCTTATGGCAAAGTTAAAAACAGTAATAATAAATAAAACTAAATAAATAATTCTTTTTTTAAAAGAAAGAATTTATTTTGGTGCCAAAATGAAAATAAAGAAATCCATGGGGGACCAGCAGTTAGTGTAATGGCTATGTTGCTGGACTCCCATGTAGCCAACTGCGGTTTGAGTCCCGGACCCAGTGGCTTAAACTCACACTGGGCGTGCGTGCGTGCCCAAGATCCCGAGAGGAGAATGGAGGAGAAGGGATTGTGGTGTGGCCATCCCCCCTGGGAGTGATTTCTTGCTTTCTGTCTCTCTGTCTCTCTCTGTCTCTCTGGCAAGTGCGTGTGCCCTATAGCAAAAATAACCTCTTCAAAAAAAAAAAAAAAAAAAGAAAGAAAGCAAGCCGTGGAAACCCCGCTCTTTGTAGCACACATTTTCCATGAACACTTTGAAGATCCCGTGTGTGCATGTTATCACACAAGCACGTAGCATGAGCTTTATTACAAGGAACTGTCTCCCATGGTTATGGGACTGAGAGGTCTCACCACCAGCCTTCTGCAAGCGGGAGGCCCAGGAAAGCTCCTGGTGCCGGTCAGTCTGAGTCCAAAGGCCGAGGCCGGGAGCTCTGACAGGGTGAGTCCTGGACCAAGGGCAGGGCAAGACCTGTGCTGCAGCCCCAGCCGTCACATGTGGGGAGATGGAAGTGGCCCTTGCTGGGCTTGGCAGGGCACCCCCCACTGGGGAGAGCTGCTCTGCTCAGCCCCCAAGTTCCCATGCTCACCTCACCTGGGATCATGCCCAGGAATGACACGCAACCATGCACCTTGTGTAAGCAGGCCGTCTCCACAGGACACCGTGTTCTGAGAACTGCGGTGAGGAGTGCCATCCTGAGGGGTCTGGGTGGCTGGATCCTTCTCACAGCTGCCGTGTAGTGCTATCTGTGAGGCCTACCTCCTCACTGGCTGGGTGTGTCGTCGAGTGACTGAAGGCTTGGGCTTCACATTCACTTTTCTACCTCAGGAGAGTGAAATAATTCTGGATATGAAGCCAGAGCGTGGGTAACTACGAGACGGGGTCAGTGCTAGGACGCGGTACTAAACCCTTAGAAAATGGAGGGAATCTGGCACTGGGGTGACCAGCGAGGGCCGTCCAGGGGATGGTGGTTGTATGTGTCTGTTGAAAGTGGAGGGGGACGTGGAGATGACATGTTTATAAAGCCCTGAGGAGTTAAGAAAGGCGAAACTTGCTTGAACATGGCAGACCAGGGACCAAAGCTGCGTCCCTGGAGGGGACACTAACCGCATTTGAGCCGCAGCAGTGGAGTTTGATGTGCGCTGCGTGTGCGAGGGTCCATAGAAAGCTGATGAAAATGTGTACTATGAAAAACTGTGGGTGGATTTCAAATTTTTTGCACCCAAATAAACTCCTCATGCTTTTAGTCCATTTTTACACAAGCATTTTAAAGTCCGCTCACACACACGAGAGAGAATAGAAACAGCCTGCCCCTCAGTTGTGTTTTCCTAAGTTACGTGCTTAGTGCCAGAGTCTGACGGGTAGATGTTTTCCTTCCCTGCCTGAACTTTGCACATGCAGAGTTTCATGGTGGTGTTCAGGAAGCAGCCTTGAAAGTAGGGGCCTCCTCGTTTCTCTCCTCTTCCACTTTTCCCCTCCCTGACGCTCAGCATATGACAGCATGGCCCTGTTTGTGTGTGTCTCGTAGCATCTTTGGGTCACACTTGACTTACAGGAAGCTTTATTCCAGAGGACAGGTGCCAGCTGATCCCAGGCCCTGCAGACACTCCGTCCTGCTTCGTCCTGGGTGTTTTGGAAATTCACATTGTCCTGAATCCCCTGTGGCTGGTGGGGGATCCAGTAAGCTCTTGCCTCCTGCCCTCCTCCTGTCCACTCACCAGGGCCAAGAGCTGACCATCCGCCAGATCTCCTTGCTGGGCTTCCGAGACTTGGTCCTGTTGAAGGTGAAGCAGGCCGACTGGCTGTTGCCAGCCCCGCCCGAGCTGCCCTCGTCCATTGTCCAGATGCTGCTCGTCCTGCAGGTGAGGCCAAGGGCAGGGATGGGTCCAGATGACAGAGCCCCTGAGCTTATCCAGAGTGGGTATCTGCCCGTGCTCCTAGCCCGCTCACTTGCAGTGCAGTTGGTGAGCACCCGGTGCTAGGTCCGTGGTGCTGTGCTTGGGTTTGACTGCACTGGGGAGTAAGCAGGCATGCTGCTGCTTCCAGGAGTGGACAACTGTCTCCTCCTTCCAGCTATGCGGGGGGCCACACGTTGCAAGTAATCGTGATGAGCCTGCTTTGGTCTCGCTGAAGCCAGAGCAGAAATGGGATGGAGTCAGGCCTCAGAGCCACAGCCCTTGTCCACTTCCCGGTCTCTACCTGAGTCTGACCTTCGTCTCTCTCTCCGACGCTGCCTCTCCTGGCTTGGCCTGGCCTCTCCTGAACTCGTTCCCCCTCCCTCGGCAGAACTGTGTTCTGGTTGCACCTGATGAAACGTGGTATCCCACAACTCACATCTCCCATGAGAGACTGCCCAGGTGTTTCCCAGCATTCCCAGCCACAGCCTAAGTCTGAGCTAACACGGGTCCCTGGGTGTGTGAGAGGCACAGACCAGAGGTGCTGTGCATCGTTTTCTTAGTCAAATAATCCGGGCTTCCACCTTATAAAGGAATCATTGTCGTAATTCCCATTTCACAGATGAAGTGAGAACCTGGCAAGTTAACCTGCTTGCCCGAGGCCCCTTCTCTGAAGCAGGCGGAGCAACTCAGAACTACGCAAGGTGCTTCCTCCTGGGGAAGAGTCCGCCTGGTCCGGATGATGGCCCTTCGCCCACCAGCTGTGACCTTGAGCAGGGTCCAGGAGCATGCGCATGGCCTTGTGAGCCACGCTTTTGGGTGGGCACATGTTCTTAAGAGCAGGGCTGTGCGGTATGGGCCCCCAAGAAGCAGCTGCTGTGTCTCCCCCACCTCTGTAGCAAGTTCAAATGCTACGGCATTAGCTCTGAGCCTTCTTTGGAATGGAAAGTTGGACACGGGGGTCCTAACTCACCCTCTCAGCCCCCAGTCACCCCAGCAGCTGCCCTCGCTCAGTCCTAAGCGGGGTTGTCTTGCTGGGCATTTTCTTTCTTCTCTGCAATGAGAGTGGAGGGAGAGTTGCCCAGTTAGGGTGCGGGTGGGTGTGACTGGCTGGAATGCCGGGCCCTGGAAGGGAAGGGAGAGAGCGCGGAGCCTGTGCTGGTGGTATCTGCGAAGCCAAGATTAGAGCTTGGGTCCCTGTACAGAGTCTAGGAGGTGAGCCTGTTGGATTCTGCCAGGAATGGAGAAAGCCAGGCTCCCGCCCTCCCATTTCCACTTGCACAGTAAGGGTGAGAACTGAGTCCTCTGTCGCTCTTTTATTTTGTTGGAAGGAGAATTGGAAGACCAATCCAGGCCTGCCGGTGTTGGTGCTAGGACTGGTTGGCCTGTCTTTATTATGAAAACTGTGTACCGCCTTCTGACATTGCAGGCCCTGTGCCAGGCACCCTGCCAACCCTGTAGAAAGCTGTCAGCATGTCTCCCTCAAGCCCCTAAACAGGTTAGGCTGTTTCAACAGGACCGCATCTTTGTCTTGGACCCAACCTCACTTCGTCATCCGTTGGCAGCTGAGACGTCCCAGCACTTTCCTGTGGTTCTAGGAAAGCAGCTCAAACCCTGGCCTCCCACCTCTCCAGCCTCACCTGGAGGCCGACCCCGTTCTGCCTCCTCGGCGTGTCCCTGCCACACCTGCTCATTCCCTCTACTCACAGCCATGTCCCGAGGCCACAGCTCGATGGCGCTCGTGCTCCCGGTCACAGCACTGTGCCCATCCCTGGCCCGTGGTCGGTGTCAGTCAGAATGCCCAGGGAAGGATGGCTGGCACAGGTCCCTACCTCAGATCCCTGCTGGTGACTATCACATAAAGGTTGTCCTTTGGGCAGAAGGATGCCCAGTCAGAGAAACTCCATGGTCACGGCAAATTAGAGTCAAGCAAAGGAAGGGCCCTCCTGGGTCTCAACCGTTGCTTTTCCCATTTCATGGCTGAGCCAAAGGTTCAGAGGGGGTGGCGGGTAGCTCAGGGTCACACAGCAGTTGGCAGCCACGGTTCACTCTGCCCGTTCCCTCTACCTCTGCCGGCCCCTTCTCATCTACTGCCACCTCTCTGTCAGCCCCGGGAGCTGGGGCACACAGAGCCTCTAAAGTGGTCCCACTTTGATGTGAGGCATTTGTGCTGTTTCTCCGAGGGCCTCCTGGAAGTCTCGGCCCATTTTCTTCCTCACTCAGGAGCAGAGAGCCTGAGGCAGGGAGCCTGATGGTGACAGATGTGCGTTTTCCCAGGCCCAAGCCCGCCTTCCTGAGCAGCAGGGGTGGCTGCTGGTCCGAATGGGACTTCCAGGTGGCACTTCCTGGG